CTGTGTCTTGAGTGTCACACTTTTTAGTGTTAAAATTAATGCCATCACTACAAATCTTCCTCCAACTGTTGCAAATGAGCTCTATGTTGACGACTTCCACATCTCATGTCAGTCGTCGAACATGAGGTTTATTGAGCGGCAGCTTCAGACTGCCCTCAATCGGTTGTTGACATAGACCACTGCAAATGGTTTTAAATTGTCTTTTTCCAAAACCGTTTGCATGCATTTGTTCCACCAACGGGGTCTCCACCCCGATCCCGAGCTCCATCTCGGTGATATAGTTATTCGTGTGATCCCTGAGGCAAAGTTCTTGGGGCTTATCTTTGACAGTAAGCTTAGCTTCATTCCACACAACAAGCAGGTACGTGTCAAGTGTGCAAGGGCTCTGAACATCCTCCGTGTCTTCTCTTCCAGCTCTTGGGGAGCGGATCGATGTTCTATGCTCCGGATCTATTGTGCTCCGATTCGATCCAAACTGGACTATGGGTCTTTGGTCTATGGTTCCGCCAGGACCTCGGCCCTGAAGATGCTGGACCCCATTCACCATCTCGGGCTTTGGCTCTGCACCTGTGCTTTTCACACTTCTCCAGTCCAGAGTTTGTACACTGAGTCCCATGAACCTTCTCTTCACCTCCGTCGTTTGCAACTGTCTTTACAATATGCTACTACTCTTCAATCCATACCATGGCATCCCACCTGGGATTGTGTTTTTTCTTCCTTGGTGGGCAATGCTCTTTCAGAAGAGACGGTCCGCTATTCCTCCGTTTGGCCTTCGTATCCTGGCGCTACTGGCTGAATTGGGTCTGGCATTGGATGACATTGCTGTCCCCAATCATCAGCCCATTCCACCATGGCTTATTACCATCCCATCCTGTGACCTTTCGTTGAGTCATCTGGGGAAGGCGGATACTCCCGATTGGAAGTACCGTCTTCTTTTTGCTGAACATTTTTCGAGCCATTCTTCTCTTCCTATTTACACGGATGGTTCGAAATCGGATGACTCTGTAGGTTCTGTCATGGTTTGCTGTGGCTCGGTAGTTGGTCGCAGGATCCCCTCTACAGTTTCTGTGTTCACTGCCGAGTTGTATGCTATTTCTCTTGCCCTGGATCATGTAGAAGCCATGCAGTACAGTAATTGTACTATTTACACTGATTCTCTTAGCTCTCTACTGGCCCTGGAATCGCTTAAAGTTAGTTCTCACCCTGTTCTCATCGATATTCAACACCGAATGGCCCACTTTTCTTTATCTTCTATTTCCATCCAGTTTTTCTGGATCCCTTACATCGGTATTCACGGGAACGAGCTCGCTGACACCGCAGCTAAGTCCGTCTGCTCTGGTGCCATCACGGCCGTGCCTGTCCCATACATGGACTACGGTCCTACTTCAAGGCGCGGCTTCGTGCCAGTTGCCAGTCAACTTGGAGTGAGCAATGCCATAACAACCTTTTCCAGATCAAACCTTCTGTTGGTCTTTGGCCATATTGCTTCCGTAAGGATCGGAAGGAGGAAGTAGTCCTGGCAAGGCTACGCATTGGTCATAGTTTTTTAACCCATTGTTTTCTTTTATCGGGTATTGACCCACCGATGTGTAGCCATTGTGACACTCAAGTCACAATAGCCCACAATTTACTGTCATGCCATCGTTACGACCATGAGCGGCGGCACCATTTAGACACGTTTTCTAAACGTTTACCCCTGACGCTGGACAGTGTCATTGGTAATGGTGACACTGTCCGATTAGATTGTATTTTTAATTTTTTACACACTATAGGTCTTTTTAATTATGTATAAATCTTTTATCGACATGTATGGGTTTTAACTCGCTATATCTTTACATTTTACTTTAATTTACTTTCATTGTTTTTACCAGTTGTTTGGCACAGATAGCCTCGCTGCTTTGTGCCGTAAAGCACCAAACAAACAACCAACCAACCACTACTGATCTATAACATGACATCATTCTTCAGCTCTAGCATGAGTCACTACTGATCTATAACATCACATCATTCTTCAGCTCTGACATGATTCACTACTGATCTATAACTTTACATCATTCTTCAGCTCTGACATGATTCACTACTGATCTATAACTTTACATCATTCTTCAGCTCTGACATGATTCACTACTGATCTATAACTTTACATCATTCTTCAGCTCTGACATGATTCACTACTGAATTATAACTTTACATCATTCTTCAGCTCTGACATGATTCACTACTGATCTATAACTTTACATCATTCTTCAGCTCTTACATGATTCACTACTGATCTGTAACATCACATGACATCATTCTTCAGCTCTAACATGATTAATTACTGATCTATAACATCACATCTATGTGGTGTTACATAATCTTACCAAAGCTGATGAATTTTCAGTGGTATCACACTACAATGTCAAAATGTAGTTCTGATGTATGTTATTCCACCATGGCTTTATCTCGACTGTGATTGTCACATGACTTGCCCATTTGCATATTCAAAATAATTTTAATATGATGTCTCAACTCACTGTGTATGCTTCTTTTTGTCTGTGCTTAGTTTTGTGAGCTGAGTTTTCTCCTTAAAAAGCAGTTTTAAATGTCTTAAAATACAAAACATGATTAAAATTACTGTAAGGGAAAGATAAAAATACAGTCAACATTTTGGCCAAACAATTTTCATTTATAGTAATAAAATAACACAATATCCTGTGTAGCAGTTAAAAAGTTAGTAAAAAACCATGGTTTATTTTTTACATCGTTTTTCTCATGGAACTCTTTACTTTCCTCCTTTGTAACATCATCTTTCTTGGACATGATTGATACTGTCTTTTCCCTCGGGAAATATACATGTATGTTGGTTTTTTATTTCAGGTTTATCTCGTACTTGTTTGTTCCTGTTTACATTCTCTCTTCCTTCAGGGGCCATTGTTCTGATGCTTTGTGCTTTGCATCTTTCTCTTTCATCTTGAGTGTTCATTTCTTTTACTTATGACATTTAGTCATCCTCATTTGGACCTGTTTTTCATTGATTCATCATTTTGTTCTTTTATCCAATTTGTTTGTTCCTTTGAAAACCTTGGACTGTGAAGTATACTATATTAGAACAGGGCTGGAGTTGTGTAAAGTTATCAAGTGGAGCTCAGTTTTACAATCTTTATAATACATACATTTCCAAAGGCTTTCAATGTTTAGAAAAGTTTGCAAAAAGTCAGCTACAGTTCTTATTTCATTTATTTGATGATGTCATGATGTAGAAGGCCTGCATCATAAACGATATGAATTGGTAAGATTGTGATAACTTATCTTTAAATTGACGTATGTCATTGAACATTCTACAACAGGAATGGTGTTCTGGCTTACTCCCCCTCAACTCTATTATAAATAATTATGGAAACACACAGGTGATACACAGGAAGGAGTCACAAACAATGAGTAATTGCAAATAAATCTCATCTTATAAGCACAATATATTATTACATAAAGTATGAGTAAGTTGCACAATGTACTAGTATTTTGTATTTAGTTTAATTAAATAGAGCACTGCACATTATTTTTGTGCTACAATAAGTAATCAATGTATGATTGTAAAATATTGTTCCAAATGACCTATGTTACTCTTCACAATCAGCCAAGTTATTTGCTTACTGTTTGATGTACTCAGTTTCATCAGAAGCCCATACAGCCTAATAGTTTTCATATCCAAAATCTGTGTCAGCCCAGGTCATGGTTGTAAGTGTTCCTTTTTATCCCCAGGTATCTTTTCATCACTGTCCATGTGGGTGGACAATTCTCGTTAAAGTTTTCCTCATCAACCTTTAAGTGTTACTTTGATGCTTAAAGAGTATTAGATACATAAAACTCCTTTTATGTGCTTATCAGTTGGAGTAAAGTCTTTTTTACTTCTTTATCTGTATTGAAATATTTATACATTTTTCCTTTTGGCTGTGGAACTTGCATGTATTATATGTTTCTGTTGTGGTCTGATGCTACCCCTGAGTATCTATCTCAGTTGTTTATAGCTTTGTGGATCTATTGTGATCTTTCATGTCTGATTTCTTTTGTAAGCTACCAGAGGCATTTTGTAATGGGACTTAATGGGTTTATTACAGCTGCTTCTGTGTATCACTGACCATACATGAGGTAGCCCTGGTACTTTCTAACCCCATTATTTTATCAATAGCCATACCTTAAGGAACCTATAGACAGTTTATAATGATAATTAATACCACATTTTGGATTTGCAGTGAGTCGCTTCCTGAGAAGAACATGGCCTTTTGTTTACTTGGGTAGGCACCTCAGTGTAATGAATTTCAAATTGATACTTACCTCTAGATGTAGCTGTATTATATTTATCCATTATTCTTGTTTCATTGTTGGTCTAAGCTAGATCTAAGAAGGTGGGTATTTCACTCTTAATATGTCAATACTTGTGAAAAGACTTACATGGAGGAAGAGTCCCATAAAAATAGTTTACCATCAATAAGATTTTGGATATTATGTCACAAAGTGATGAATGATGAGACAGAATATACTTGTAGGCTTAGCATGACATGAAAAATGTTGAAGAATGCTACTTAAACTTGTTTTAATTTTGAAAGTATTCATGCATAGTGCCTGTTCTTGTTGATAATGAACCGTCATTTTCTTCTGTTGAACTATTCAGTTTCCCTTTTGGTTTTTTTAGTTGTTTCTTAGGGTTGTGTTTTGATTACTTGCAAAATATTTACTGTCACATAAGAAAAGCAAACTGTGCCAAGTGTATGACAACAAAAAGCTATATATTATTTGAATATTGAAACTGTATATAAATTACAAACTGTGAAATTATTACATTAGTAGCACTTCTAGTATTTTATCAGTGCTTTTTCTTAAAGGTGACCAACTCATTTGTTATGAACTTATTCAATGGCCAGCTAAAATCTGACCAGGTGTTCCCTTTTCCTGAGGGTAAGTTGTTAATTTTACATGAAAGAAATATATATGTACATCTTTACGAAAAATACAAGTTCGGTGACTATAGTAATACACAGTATTTTATTCATTTCAGACCTTTGTCACACAAGTAATGTAATTTGTATTGAAAGGTTATACATTCTTTTATCTTGTAAATTATTCCTTATTCTCTTTTTTGTTTTTACATCTGTAATAACTACTTTGACCCCTGAATGCTTTTTAACTTTCTGTTGAGAAATGGGATGTAACTGCAGTTGCGTATGGTGTTTTTTTGGTGATATACTTGTTAGTTTCATGCAGATTATCTTTTCATACTTTTTATTTTTTTACAGTATTTACTTTTTTCTAAAAATGGGAACTTAGTTTTTTTTCTCTATTTGTAATCTCTGTAGTGACACATAGGCATACCTCCTTAATGTCATCATTTATAGTCTCATTAGTGACACATAGGCATACATCTTTAATGTCATCATTTATAGTCTCTCTAGTGACACATAGGCATATCTCTGTAATGTTATCATTTGTATTCTCTCTAGTGACACATAGGCATACCTCTTTAATGTTATCATTTCCTTAATTAGGAATCCTAATTATTTTGCTATATCTAGTGACTATTTGTGAAAACCTGTACTACTCTCTCACGCTCTTATATTAGATAAGTGACCCAAGATATTCCCAGGAATTGAGTACACTTCCTGTTCATTTTCTTTGCATGTATTTTGTATTTTTTTGTGGGTAAACAGATGTATCAATATCAGAACTGATAAGAGAAATATTGTAAGTTAAACAGTTGAAAATCACATACATCTTTTAGTTTCATATTGTATTTACCACTATAGAATATTAGGTCCTCAAAAAATTAATGTCGCTTTTTTTTTTTTAGATGAAAAAAC